TTTTTTTTTTTTTTTAAATTTTGGCACTTGTTGCCAAAGGACTACTTTAAATTATACATGTGAATAAAATGTAACAGCTTAATTAGTTTTGGGTAGTATCCATAAATTTAGATTAAATCTTCTTTTAGTCAACTCATTATTTTCTCACAACCTGTAGACCTTCATATTTGGCAAGGATTCTGCTTATGAGCCTTTTTTTAAAAAATGTGCTTATAAAACCACTTTCCATAAAGCTGTTTTATAATTGGAGTAATACATAGGAGGGTTTGTGTTGTTCCTCTGAGTCTTTGTGCCCTGCTTGCAAGTACAAGTTCTGCCTGACTGATCACATGTTTGCAAGTAGTGGATCCTTCCTGCTGTTTGTTTTCAGTGAAAAATTTGCTCTCTTCCTTGATAGAAGGGTGGAAATCTTTCACTGTTCTCATCTTTGTGCTTGAGAACTCTCAGATAGCAAGCATTTTAAAGTTGACTAACGATTTCAGCAGCTCAGTTTTACATCATAATTTTCTTTAATAGTACAGCTTTTATTTTTTTCCTTGTGGTATGCTCTGGGGATTAAACCCAGGGCTTTTGCACTGAGCTACATCCCCAGCCCTTTTGTTATTTTGAGACAAGGTCTCACTAAATTGCCCAGGTTGGGCTTGGTTTTGCAATCCCTCCTTCCTTAACCTGCTGAGGTCCTTGGGATTAAGTGTATTCTACCACACCTTGATTTAGTGTAGCCTATTTTAATGTTTAAGACAGTTTTGCCTATTAAAATGATTTAAGTTCACATAGTTTTAGAATTTTGAATTGCAGATTCAAACCATAACATTGTTTTGGTTATTCTCTAAAGCACTAAAGAAGACTCTGAGCACTCCTTTTGACTGTAGTGCAAAGAATTTTTAAGGGCTGGCTTTTCTTTGGAAACAGCTGTCACCCTGCAAACCTTATTGTTTGGTGACCTTTGTCATCAGGAATGTCCTTGGAGGAAACAGCCTCATAATTGTTTTTCTTAAGCCTTTAGTAAAGTTTGTGATACGTCCTTCCAAGTTAGTTTTAGTTAGTTTCTTCAGCTTACTTTGTTTGCATTTGATTGGAAGCTCCACCTTTTTAGCTTTATGATGATTTGTGCTGAGTTCCTTGGCAAAAATAAATAAATAAATAAAAAGAAAAAAAGTCTTCTCCCTTCCTGATATCCTGTCCTGTGGGACAGCTTTGTGGTTTAGATTAACAGTTTCCCATTGTTGCCAGTTGCAGTTGTCTCCTCCCTCAATATCCTTCCCTCCCGTTCCTGTATCATTTGCTCCACAATTGCCCTTGTGACTGCCTGAGGTCTTGCTGGTGGTGGAGTGTGCTGTTGGGTAAGTACCGGCAGGGTTAAAAATGGGTGGATGGAGCTATGAGTGGGTCAATCAGTTTCTTTTCACAGCAACAATTTACACTTTGAAATTGATGTTAGGAGTCTAATTTTTTCGGAGAAAACAGTTTTGATGCTGAGTGAAGTTTCTGCTTTTTCCTCTTTCAGTTGTAAAATTTTGGAAATTTGTTTTTTCCATTTAAAAAACATTCTCCTAGACTTGTTAAAATTAAAGGCAAGCGTTGTATGTTTAGTATTTTAAATTTCCTTGAAACCTGGAAGGTTATTTGTGAGAAAGCTATATTTCTTTATGTTTATTTTTCAGTATAACATACCAGTTAAAGAAACAAATAGCATATTTTGTGGCTAATCTGGGAAGTAGCATTTACTCTCCAGTATCAGAGTCATTCTTTTCTCCTGTCACCAGAATGCTGTTGGCAAAATTCATGAAGATTTTTGGCAATATGTTGTCAGTTCTGGGAAGTGGCTTCTGAGTATTTCAGGGTAACAGATGTTTCTGGGAATTACTTTTGGGAAGATGTATTCATTAATATTTGCTCCCTTGAGGTGTGAAGTCTGTAGTCCTCTCATGTATATTTTGTTGTTTATTTGTTTTTGATTTTTTGAGACAGGATCTTGCTATGCAGAATGTTTCATAACAGCCTATTTCCTTGAGTTGTATGCTTTGATCTTCAACTAAGAAACTGTCTCTGTGTGTATCTAACACTGAATGGGTGATACTTTGGTATTTCAAGCAATTACAAGAGATGAGCGTTAGGTTCTCTAGAAGCATTATTAACGATATAAGGGAAACTTTGTTTGTGGATTTTATTGCTGTTCAGTTGTGTCACTTATCCACATGGAGGTTGCACTTGTATAGTAATGATTTCCTGAGCTCCTATTGTGAGGCAAGTGCTGGGTCCTATAATTCCCAGTACAGCTTTGTCAGCTAGGTACTATTGTCCACCTGGGAAACAGTCATACACAGGGAGAAAGAACTTGGTGTTTTAAAATCATTTTTCGGGAATGTGAAGATAATGATTCTTGTTTAGCTGTTAGTTGTAAGGGCTAAAAGACGTACCTTGCATCCAGCAGTGTTCACTAATTGGTAGCTAGTCTTACTAAGATTTTACAGCTGAAAGAGCAAGAGAGTCTAAGTAATGTGCTGAAGGTCACTTGGTTGTAGTGGTAGACCTAGGATTTGAATTGGCTCAAAACCTAGAGTTTAGCTGGGTGCGGTGGCGCTTGCCTGTAATCCCAGCTACTTGGAAGATTGAGAGGCAAGAAGAGCTCAAGTTTAGCCCGTCTCTAAAACAAAACCAGTAAGCAATCCCCTAGCAAGAGTTTGGAAGCATGTTTTCACTTGAGTATTGTAAAGGCTTTTAGAGTAGATTTCCCCAGATTTCTGCTCATCTCTCCGCCTCCTGCTCTCACTGCTCCCACTGTGGTTTTGTTGTTGTTGGTTTTTTTTTGGATGCCTTTCTTTGCCTTTCTTTGGCATCCTCTGTCACCTTCCCAGTCATGTGCTTGCTTTTTCACACTGGAGTTGCTTGTGCCATTCAGTACCAGTGTCCTCTCAACAGAAATGAGTCAAGCTGGTGCTGTCATTTGGCTTCCTCCCTTATTTTCCTTTTGTTGATAGTCAGTAGACTTTCATTATTATTGGTGCTGAAATAATTTGAGTACTGGTGTGCTTATAACAATTTAAAAATGATAAATTTAAAAATGATTGCATAGTTGCAATCAAGTATTTAAATTAAAAAAGCATTCCTTAGTGATTTTAAAAATTATGAAAAAGAAAATCTGGTACTAATTGAACCAGAGGGCTATATTATAGATCAAGTTTATGTAACTCATGGTTATCATTTTGCTATCTAGAGACCTAATAAATAACTGTTGAAACTCTTCCTTTAACTACTTTGCTACTATTGGCAGTATGGATGAAGCAAAAATATTGTTACATTTTCACCTTAGGGAGAGTATCTTCATTTTTTTGTGTTTTGTTAGTAGAGTACCTTTCTTCAGTATATCTTTTAGAAACAGAAGGCATGATTTAGGTATAATGTGATTTAGGGAGGAGATTCAGGGAAGAGTTAGAAGGCTGATTTAATTGATCTCTAAACTGAAAAAAATGAGTTAGGTTTGTTTCACAATTCTTCTTTCCTTCTCTTTTTTTTTCATGTTTTGATTTTTTTTTGAGATAGGGTCACACTATGTAGCCCATACCTTCAAACTCCCAATGACATTCCTGCCTCAGCCTCCCAAGTGCTGGGATTACAGACATGTGCCACTATGCCTGGCTTATTTTTTTCTTTGTTTCTGGATATCGGATTCAGAGCCATCACACTGAGCTATATCCACAGCTCAGTTTTTAAATTTTCATTTTGAGACAGAGCTCAAGTTGACAGAGCTCAGTTTGCTGAGTTGCCCAGGCTGAGATCCATCTTGTGATCCTCCTGTTTCAGGAGTGTTGTAAGGGAGGGTTGACATTACAGGTGTGGTCCTTTTTTTTTTTTCCAGTCCAGGAATCGAACTCATGACCTCCTGCTTGCCAGGCAGGTGCTGTGCCGCTGAGCTAAATCCCCAGCTCCCAGGTGTGGTCCATTTTGACCAGCTTCATTTATTCTTCTGTTTAACAAGTACTATATTGAGTATCTGTTGAGTGTTAGGCAGTGTAACTTTTTACACTATATTCTAATAATGTACCGATATACAGTTAAGTACTGATTAATGAAGTTCCTGGGAGGCTTAACTGGTGGGGAGTGGTGCTTAAGAAGACAGTCCTTTAGAAAAGAATACTCCTTCCTGATACAGTGTGACTACAGGTATCACTGAAATCACTGTTTTCAAACTGCGCAGAAGGGATAGCTAGTATTAAAGAGGACTGAGGAGACGGGGGTAGGAAAGAGGGGAACACTCCTTGTTTAGCAAACTGCTGGGCTTGCTCAAAAAACAAATCTTTTTGAGTGTTTTAAGAGAAGCTGTGGAAGTTGAGGTTATAACTGTGCATGGAATAAGATTATGGAAAGCCATAAAAGCTGAGAAGTTCAGATTGTATTTTGTCACTGAACGTTCCTGAGCTAAATGTGATTGATTATTGAGTTTGAGTTTTGTTAGTAGTTGTGTTTTGGCCCTTTAAATAGATAGGATTAGAGGGGAAAGAACAGTTAGGAAGTTATGTGTCTTAGTTACTTTTCTCTCATTGCTGGGACAAAATACCTGACACCCAGAATTAAGGAAGCAAAAGGTATTTAGCTCACAGTTTGTGGAGGTTTCTGTCCATGCTCAGCTGGCTCCAAGGCAGAGTGGCACATGGCAGAGGGCAACAGTTCATGGCGGCAGAAAACTACAAAAGCAACAAGAGCAAAAGGGACAAGTGGCAGGTGGCAGCGACAAGCAGCCTCTTTCCCTCCCTTACATTGTATGCAAACTACCCACCACAGGGCAGGTGTGGGACTCACATCCATAATCCCAACATTAGACCATCAATCAATTATAAACTGTAGGCTGGGTGTGGTGGCGTACACCTGTAATCCCAGCACTTGGAAGGCTGAGGCAGGAGGATCCTTAAGAGTTTGAGACCAGTCTGGGCAACAGAGTGAGCTCAAGGCCAGCCTGAGCGGCATAGCAAGACCCTGTCTCAAAAAGACAACAAAACAAAACAAAACAACAACAAAATATCATAAACTCTAAAAGCCCACCCCATGACTGCATGAGGCTTTGAGGGAACATCCAGATACAAACCATAACACACTCACACCTCCAACCCCAGCACTAGACAATGAACCAATCACAAGCTCTAGATTCAGCAGCCTTCGAAAAGCCCATACCCCATGATTGCATAAGCCTTTTGGGGGACATCCAGACAGAAACCATAACATTATGACAGTAGTTTAGGTGAATTTTAGTGAAAATAGTTTTGGGCTACATTTACCACATTTTTGTTGTTGTTTTTGAGACAGTGTTTCACTATGTAGTTCAGGGTTTCACTATATAGTTGAACTCACTATGTAGCCCAGGCTGGCCTTGAACCCTTACTGATCCTTCTGCTTCAGTCTCCTGAGTTCTGGTATTACAGGCATGTACTACCATGTCGAGTTTTTTCCACAATTTTGATATAGCTTTGGGTTTGTGTTGTCCTGTGTAGTTTGATTTTATGGAACTTTTTACACTACATAAATATATTTGTGTGTTTGTATATATGTAAGAATGGTTACAGGTGATGATAAACCATCATAACTATAGCTGCTATATGTGGAATTTATTTTTAT